ATATTCTTTATTTCATAAAAACTACCTGCCCTTGTGTATAATGTGTGCTTGACTTAGAATATAACCTACTTCTTTGTGTACCAGACATACTTCTTGTCACACTTTAGGCCCCCTTTCATATGTTAAGATTTAGCACTTGGTGACTATGCTTATGATACCATTTTTATTTTTTTCTTACATGGACATGACTCTTGAGTCCAGAAATCCCTCTTTCATTATTGTACTATGCAGGGCATCTGGTACCAAGTGAGTTCTTAAATGAATGGGTGCTTGAGTTGTCAATGGACAAAATTATGTTTCAGAAACTATTTTCTTTTTGTGATTCTGAAGACTTTGAAATGAAGGACATGTGTTTCCACAGTAGAGAAATTACAGCCTCAATTAAACTTCAAGTGATCATTAGAGAGAACAAGTTAGACTGACAAGAATGTATCTGAAATCAAGAAGAATGTCTATACTTAAAGGGTTGTTTCTTTCTAGTCAGTGTGAAGAGAACAGGGATTGACATTCTCTGCTGATCTGAAAAACAAGTCTGTAAGTACAGACTTCATTGATTATTCAAAAAGCTGGTGTAGCCACAGGGTCACAGTCAGAAAGTTCTGGAGGCAGATTTGGTCTCTCACTGACTTAGCCTTTTAGTCAGCATCATTCAGAAGTATATTATATTTGTTGAACTCACACATTCAATTTGTAGCTATCTTTAATCTACCTCACTCTGGCTTATATGAAGTGAAAAGGGTCTTTTAATTGGTCTTTGTTGGGGTCATACTAGTTTCCTATTGGGTTGAGGGGTATTAAAAAAAAAAGCCAAATGAAGAGAAAAAGAAATTCACAGATTAGACCCTCTAGAGTAATGATTCCCAATCAGGGTTATTTATTCAAGGGGGATATTTGAAATATCAAAAGACCTTTATTTATCAAAAGGTGGGTGTTGTTGGCACCTAGTGGGTAGAAGCCAGGCTACTACAAAACATCATGCAATGTACAAGTTAACTCCCCTCAACAAAGAATAACCCAATTTAAATGTCAGTAGTGCAAAGGTTATGAAATCCTGCTCTACAGTCAGTAGCATTAATTGATTCAGAAACGTTCAAGCAGTCACTTGTGATCCTATTTAACTTTCAGTGAAAGAAAGAGGTTAAACTGATGATTACTGGATTTTCCTCGATGTGATGTTTGGCGTTAAATAATCCTGATGCTAATATGGGATAGAAATATAAAAACAATATGAAATAGAAAGCACCAATTAGAATAAGTGAGGACATGGTGGCAAAGGTGGAAATTATTTTCTTGAATCATTTCCTTTAAAACGTAATGTTGACATAGAAAGAATCAGGCAGGAAGTTTTCGCAAACACTGTGGGTTGATCACCAATTAATTTTTGAGATCCTCAGCTGAAAGGAAAGACTATATAGAATTAAAGAAATATGCCAAATAGAATCAAAGGCTCTTTGGAACTTCTCTTTTTGCAGATTCAAAATTATCAAAGTCTCAATGAAAGGCCATTTTACATGAGACGATAGCAGCATGTCCATGATAAAAGACAGTTTCGAGAATTTGGGGATGGTTTGCTAAATGATTGAAAGGAGGTGTTTGTGTGGATAATTTACTTTCTTTTCAGTTTTGAATTTTAGTTCCATGCTCTCCTACATCCTGCCCATAGTATAATAATCGTGGCCTCAGTTCATAGCTAAAATCTCCCTCTACTAACAGAAGTGCATTTTTGAAATAAATGGCTTTGCATTACCATGTCAAGAAGTGCATACTGGAGGGAATGTAAACTGGTTCAGCCACTATGGAAAGCTGTGTGGAGGTTGCTGAAAACATTAAAGTTGGATCTACCATATGACCCAGGGTTTCCGCTCCTAGGAGTTTACCCAAAGGACACAAAACCACTAATCTGAAAGGAATCCTGAACTTCTATTTTTTTTAATTGCAGCATGATTTATAATAGCTAACATATGACCAACAACCCAAATGCCCCCAAACAGATGAATGCATCAAGAAAAAGTGGTCTGTATACACGACATAATACTACTCAGTGATCAAAAAAGACAAATTCATGTCATTTGCAGCAACATGGATGAAGCTGGAAGAGATTAAGTAAAGTGAAACTAGTCAGAAGGAAAACGATAAATATTGAATGTTTTCACTCGTACATGAAAAAAGACAAAACATGCAAGCTGAGCATAGATCTGAAGCATACAGCATGAGAGGTTAAGGGAGAAGGGTCGAAACAGGGGAGGGAAGAGCACAAGGGACTGTGGTGATGGATCACAGGTACTATGGTGGTAGGAGAACTAGGGGACTGCATTTGAGGGGAGAAATTAAATACTGTCCCAAAATTAACAATGATGAAATAAATTAATTTTTAAAAGTGCAGTGTAGGAAAGAAATAAGAGGGCAGGAAAAAAGACCTCCTGAGCATTCTTCATTTCTTCTTATGCTATGTGAGAAGTTGATGTTCTGTTCTAGTTAGCTGTTGTGGTATGGCAAACCATGTAAATCATCAATTTATTGTAAATTGATCTGAATACGCTGTGGGTCAGGGAATACCAGAAACTTTTCTCTCTTCCAGATTACCTGGGTTCTGATAAAAGCTAGGATAACTAAAAGTGCCCTGAGGCATCTGTCTTTTTACCCTTTCTCCCCCACATACTACTTTTTATGTAGCTAACCTGGGCTTTATCACAACACAGACGCCTCAGAATAGTCAGCTTTGAGCTCAAAAGAATAAGGTGGAAGCTGCCTGTCTTATTCAAAGCTTGGCACAGAAGTGGTGTAACATCTCATCTACTGTACATTTTGTGTCAATGTAGTCATAGTCCTTCCTAGATTCAAAAGGAGATAAGATATACCTCATGTGTCATTGGGAGGACTGTCCAAACTGTACGACCATTTCAAATCTACCACTATCTAACTTCAAGTTAATCCTTTTATAAAAATGTCAGGATTATATTTTAAATATTTTGTTGGGATCATCACTGTTTCAAAGGGTTGACTAAAGAGAAAGAAAAACATGAAGGAAAATAAAAGAAGAAAAAAGTCAAAAATAAAATAAAAGCTGTCTATATGAGACATAACATCATAGGGATTATATTTTGTTTATTTTAGAACCAATTTTTCTAATTTGGGTTCCTTTAGCTGAATTTGTTAGGCATGTGTGTTTCTGCCCAATAACATCATTTACATAAAGAGTACTGTTGTAATTTTGTGTCTTAATCTCTCTTTAAATGTTCTAGAAACCAATTTTTTTTTGAAGAATCCTCACTCAATCACTTACTGATCATTTTAAGAAGGTACATTAATCACTCTGAGTTTCAAATTTCAGTTTCCTCACATGTGAAATGGTGATAACACCAGTATCTATTTTACTGGGTTGTTGTACAGATTGCATATCATAACATATGTGAAATGACTACCCTTGGACATATAGCAGAAACTCCATGAGAACTTACTAACTTAACTTGCTTCCCAAATTAAGAACCATGTTGCTAATAACCAGATGTTTGGGGAGGAAAGTGGATAGAAAGTAATCTTTTTGGTGGCTTTAATGAATTAGAATGGAAATATATTTTATCTATTCTATGTTTTATTTGTTTATAATTGGTATCATCTGTCCCCTTAGTATAAATTATCATTTTTATTCTGTGGCTAATACATTTCTCTCTCTGGCGCTGACTAAACCTTTTAATTTCAGCCTCGTGTGTAGTTAGTTGTAAAAAAGCACTTTAAACACTACATGCTTAGTACTCCATTTCCTACAATAAAGACTTTTTTAAACTTCAGTTTGATCAGGTCATTTACATGCAACTCAAGATACAGAACAATGAACAGAGTAGAGGGAGGGAGAGGGGTCAAAACAGAGGAGGGAAGAACACATAGGATATGGTAGTGGTTCATGGGTGATGTGGTAGTGGGAGAACTACGAGGACTACATCTGATGGGAGAAACCAACTATTGTATAAAAATGAACAATGATGTAAGCAAATTAAATTAAATAATAAAAAAAAAACTTCTTAAAGCCCACAGCAGGTCAGACACTCAACAGGTAGAACTACTCTCAGATACTTCTGTTCCCATAAAAATCAATCAATCAATAAATCAGAAAATGAAAGTTCTATAATGTTATTAGCAAAAATAAGGCAGTGACATGGAGCTATGATTAAAGATTTTGGACATATTTTCTATCAGATGAGTATAGCTAAATAAAACAAGATTGTTAAAGATATTGAGGGTTTGAACAGGTTTATTTGGCAAAAAATAAAGAATTTAAGTATATTGCATATGATTTGAATATCAAATGCACTTTTACACTGTGAAAGTGACTGGTGCACAGGAAACAGCTGATGTTTTCATAAACTTGTCTGAGATGGTATTCTCCACCTGGAATCCCTCTCTTCACTATGATTTTGAACTTTCATCTCTTCAATGTCTTTATATATAGAAATAAATGTCTTTAAAATAAATGTCTTTATTTATAGTAAATCACATTTTATTTGATGTATATACTGTGTATACTTTACTAGTTCCTAGAATTAGAAAAAAAAAAGTGTGGTTTCTGCTTTTAGGAAATTATGAGGGGAAAGGCAGGAACAGTTATTAAAATATCTAGTGAATGAAGTGTTGGTCTCACATGCAAGCCTTAAGGGCAGAATGGAATAAGGTAATGAATTACTAATCCATTGATGATTTATCTTAATTAGTAACAACCCATTATTATTGAAATTTAGAGCAACCATATAGCAAAATTCCAAAGAACACTGGTTATGGAAGTAGAATTTCTAGGATCCAGTTCTAGCTCTTCCAGTTATTATGACATTAGGCAAATTATGGCATCCCTCAAAGGCTCATTTTATGCATCTGCAAACACATACATATGTTGTGAGAAATAAATAACATAATACACATAAAGAATGTGGATGAGTGCCATGCATATTGAACACTCAGAAGTGGGGAGGTAGAGCAATGTTCAATGAAGACCTTTTAGACTCTACCAGTAAAAAGCCTTTTACTCTACAAGGTAAGCAATGATTCCTTTGGATGACTTTTAGCACAGAGCACCACGGTCAAGATAAAGGTTTAGAAAAAAAATATATAGGAACAGATAAAAACCACGCACAGGTAGAGTTCATCAATAAGGTGCTTCAGACTTAAACAAGAGAGCTTGGTCTTTAGTTAGTACCATTTTATGGATTTAAAAAAAAAATGCCTACCAGAGATTTTCCTTCTCATTATATAAAACTTTCCATAGCCCTGAGTTTTCAAATATCTATTTTGTGATTCAGAGACTGAAAAGACCTCCCACTCTTTGTCATTCTCCGGGTGAATGTAAGAACCTCAAAGTATATTTCAAATTTCAAGCTTAGAACTAAATTTGGAAGCAGCTTCTAATCAAGAGGTATGGTCCAGATTGTATCAATTTGTTTTTTTCTTATTCAAAACTCATGCAAGGTCCTGATTACTCCATAGTACAATGGGGAAAAAAAGAACAATTTCCCTCCAGTTTTTATTAGTAGCCTTCAAGTATTTGTAAGAATCTTTGCCTCTTTTGACAATTTAAGACAAAATTGTCTAAGCCCAAGGGGTTTGATTTATTTTATATTCTACATATTGAAATTATTTCAACTCTTATATTGGACTAAGCCTTGAATGTGAACTTCAGTGTTTTTTCTGACAGCCAGCACTTCACAACAAGAGAGAGCTTATATGGTGCCAGAGAATTATCACTGTCTATGGTCACTTCTGGTGATTCATGAAAGTCCATTTCAGAGCTTGACCCAAATGAAACGAGTGACATCTTTTTTGGGGCATCAGAGTGCAAAGGTTGGGTCAGTCAATATCTAGCTGCTGAAAGAAATTGCAGATTTAATGAGACACAAATAAAAACAGATAATTGTGGCTGTGGATCTGAGAGGTAAGGTGTGAAGTTCCTGCATGACTGAACAGGAAAAAGTGCTGCTTTCCTGTGGTACATTACAGGGCTGCCAGACAAGTGTGATTAAGGCAATTTACACATGAAATTCGATTATGAATAAAAGGATTCCCCTTCTTTCCATGCAAGTTACGTGAGGGAAATTTGTGAGAGGTCTTAATTAAAAATAACTGGTAGCTGATTGGCAGTTGGGCATTAGGTTGGAAACTGGCAGCTGCTAACAGGAGAGGAGATGGAGAATTAATGACAAGTGAAAGCTTTGTCAGAAAAAAAAAAAAAAAAGGACTGGGTGCAGGCTGTCAGTCATCCATCCTGTGCCTCCACAATTGGCAATTCTCCCGGGGATGCAGCCTGCTAGGCTGGCTTCTGCAATATGGCAATCAATATCACACTTCTCAAACACAGAGTCTAAAGTGATAGGGGACTTTGGCAATGGTATGCAGGTGTGGATAAGGCACAATTCTGACTCTCATACCAAACAACTCATTCTTCTCTGCATTTATGCTTTCCCTTAGAAATCAAATTATAAAAGTTATTTTCACCATCTTACCATGATGATGAAGGAAAGGAGAATGAGGGCAATGAGAATGAATAATGGAAATTCCTTTGGACAGTTTAAAGGTCACCTAACTCTTAATAGATTTTTTTTTTACTCTGCATGATAACAGATGGATTTAGCATAAAAATAAAACCGGATAAATACAAGAAAACCAAGGGATCTGCCATTAGCAATAAATTAGTAAAATTGTATTAATGATAATAAAATGAAACTCTAGCATTTGCATCTTAATAATGTAAGTCTTCTATATTCTTGTATTGCACTTGGGGGGTATTATCATCCAAGGTAAATACAATGATATAGGGCTAGTGTCACTTGTTAAAAAAAAAAAAAGCCTGTGATGCAGAATTAAAAGAATTTCTCTCTCTCTCTTTCTCTCTATCTCTCTCTCTCTTTGTCTTTCTCTCTCTCTCATTCCTCATTCCATTATCATTTGTCTCTGCTTTTTCTGCTTCAGCCAATACATGGTCAAATACAGCTTTCCTAGATCTACCTTCACAACACCTCCGATTTAAAATCTGATGTAATAAACTTGTTAATGAATCCATAATTAGGTTGTAAACTGAGACTTAGATTCCCAATTCAGAATAATTCCAGAGTTTGTATAAACAAGAATTAAAAGTTTAAATTATTTCCCCTAATAGAAGAAACAGAAGATTAAAATGGGAGAAGTTGATACAAGGTGACAGGGAGGAAAAGAACCACAGTTAGAGCCAGTGTGATAACCAAGCTGAAATAAACCACACAAGACTATCAGGCATCAGGTCAGAATTCTTACATTGTTGGATTAATATATACTTTTTCTCCAGAGATCTTCAGCATCTAATGTGACCTTGATATTACTGTTGTATAAAAACACATACTCATATAAGGGATAATATAACAAGTCTATAGTTTCTACGAGCTGCTGTTAGAGGAACTATATTAAATAGTAGATAAAATTGTAAATCAGGTGTTTAATAATAAATTTTTGAATGACTGAATAACTAAATTAATGTACTCTCCCCAGAATATACCAGCAAATCAGATTCTTACTTCCGATGTTTGAAATAGAGCTTAGAGTATCAAAAACATTCAGATAGGATCAGTAGGGACACTTGGTGGGGTGGCATAGTGTGATATATAACAGTTGCTTAAGTGAGAAATTGTATACCTGAAGCCTTTACAGTATTGTAAGCCAGTGTTATAAATGAACAAATACATTAAAATTGGGTGAGATTTGACCAGCCTCATAAGTATGAATGATGTATTCCTATACTATTAAAGATAAAACATATAAATGAAAAAACAAAATAACTCATACAGAAAGAAACTAATGCTTAGAATTTTGTTGAAAGGGTGCATGGTGAAAGTTATGGATCAAATCTACTCCTTTAAGTTGCATAGATTAATTGTCTTTACATATATACACATTGGTCTAAGCACTTATGAGTGAGCTGACACAGAAACAATTAAAATGGAAATTTTCTTATTTCTCTTTTCCACCTAAACTTTTTCCCTCTTATTTCTCTTTCCTCTTTGACTTCTTTTCCTTCATAGTCCCCCTCTGAAAGATAGACACTGTTAAGTCAATTTTACAGAAAACGATCCTTAACTTAGTATCAGTAAGTGACTTTCCCAGATCTCAGTCAGAACTAGAATTTGTACCTAGCTTGGTCTGCATCCAAGTTGCACATTCAAAGACATTCCCTCTACTCTCAAATTCTGGCCCATTCATCCAATTTTGTCATTTTATGGATGAAGATATCAAACTCTGGTTACTAAATTACTGAAGAGTCCAATTCAGTTTTAGTTTTGGAATTGCTGACATATGAGTCTAAATATTTCACTAAGCCTACTGCAAATGTATCAAAGCAGCCTTTGATAAAATGGCATCATGTTTTTCTAACATGATTCTTCAGGGATAGAAATTTATGTGAAGGAAATCTATAGGTTTGTCTTCTCCATGTTTAAAGCCCTGTCTTTCAGAAATTCCCTGAAATGAGGGAAATAATCCTTACAGAGTAACTCTTTTTTTAATTTTTTAATTTTTTTTTTAATTTTCTAGAGGCATGTCTTATTTATTTATTTATTTGTTTGTTTGTTTGTTTTTTTGTTTATACATGCACTGGGTACAGTCAGAAGCGCGGGAGGGTGAGAGAATTCACCAGAGCCAGAGCGGGGAGCAGAGCAGGCAGAAGGACCGAAGTACACTGCTGCGGGGAGCAGCGGGCGGCAGGAGAGGTCTGCGCGCCATGTGGGACCCTCCTCTGGTGGCCGGGGAGCAGCCGGGGATCGAGCCGGCGCCACAGAGGATGCAGGCAGCTTTGCAACCCAGAGCTCAACCGCTGCGCCACCGGGGAGGCCCCCTTACAGAGTAACTTAAACAAAATACAGAAGCTTCACATAGGATCCAAGTACAAGAAAGTCAGTCTCCACTTGAGCCTGGAACAAAGGAGAAAATTGTCATTGGATTAACATTAATTAGTTGATTCTTCTGAGGACACCATCATCTCTTATATGTTATTCTTTCTCTTTTTCTCTGTTCTCTCATCTTTTCTGCAATCAGTTATGTCTGATTTTTCCACTTCTGCAAACACATGACCAAAAATGGCTGCTTCAGACCTGGCTATCCATTACTTCTGATGTCAGAACAGAACCAGACTGAAAAGGTGAGGTTCAGTTTAGTTCCTCGGAGAAAAAACTCAGTGATTCCTGCTCAAGAGAGAGGTTTGCTGCTGATCTAATCAGGACTAGAACAAACAGGGTCATGCAGCAACCTCCTACTGGACTGAGGGTGTAATGGCCAACAGAGAGGTCTCTAACATGAAAATGAAGGATTGGAACAGGAATGATTCACTTTTCCAGATCAAATGTTTAAGGCAGTTGTACAGGTATGGTTAAGATTAGTTCAAGAACTTACAAATAAGGGGTAGAATATCATGAGACCAGGGTGTAAGGAACTGAAATATTAAACTCCACAAAGTTATTCTTATATACATTTTCATTCCTCAATGCCTTTTCATATTGACTTGCAAGAATAAGTTCAGTGCCTTCACAATTGTCTGTAGCCTTTCCCCTGTCTTCACCACATGAATTTCTGAGGAATGTGTGTGAAAGAATAGGAGAATGATGGAAGAAAATGGGTCATTTAGGGAATGTGGGATAAAAAAGAAAACAAAACTAAACTGAAGTCTGTAACAACGATGGGAGGATGGGAGAAACAGTAAGAGATTGACAAACAAAGAGGGACAGCATAAGGGCTGAAAGACCTCAGCAATTATAGTTGCAAAGAGGAAATATAAGATTGCTAGAGTTCATGCATTTAGACTTCTTTAATAATTCTGGACCTCCCTGGTGGTGCAAGGGGTTAAATGTCAGCACTATAAAGAAATCCACAGCCACTGCATCACGATTTTGATCCCTGGCCAGGGAGCTGACTCACGTGGCACAGCAGACCTCTCCTGTCTCACCCGCTGTTCCCCTCAGCAGTGTATTTCGATAGATCTGCCTGTTCTTTTCCCCACTCTGTCTGTGGTGAATCCTCTCACTGCCCCCCTCCTGTGGCCTTCACTCTAGCTCTTGTGTGCATAAATAAATAAATCTTCAAAAAATAATTCTGAACGTCCTAATATAGGGCTGGATTGTTTTCATGGACTGTCCTAGAATTAATGGCAATGCTTCTGGATCTAGGATTCATGGAATAAGGATCTAAAAATGGATGTCCCAATAGGTATTTTCAAATTTGAAGAATGAACTGAGGGAAACTTTAATGTTCCAAGGACTTTGTAGTCTTTGATTTGAACCTTGAAGGGGTTTAGAGATATAGAATCTAAAGATGCTGGCTGTGTTAGTGAAGGACAAAAAAGAGAAAGCAGGGCTTGAGGTAGCATTGAATCCCTTCTGTATGTCCAAGTACTAAATGGACCTCCAATGCAGTTAATGCTTCTTAAATCCCTTGGGGACTCTTAACCTCATTTTTATACAAGGAACTAAAGCTGGGTAATCTTATGTCTCACAGCTCATTAGTAGCCAGTGTCAGTTGAAATTCTTAATTCCAAAAACCATGGTTATCTATTTGCCAGTCTCTCTCGGATAGAAGATACAAACAGATATGTTCATTGTATTTTTTTCACTTATTTTTAATATATAATTAATCAAAAGTTGACCTCCTTACACTGCTGATTTTCTAGCAATGCAAGGAGTTAGGAACTCTGATTTATATTCACAGAATTCTACCTCTCTTAGATCATAAATCAAATCATGATATATAATGCCCTGGTCGCCATATGTTCTTAGCTCTTGACGTCCGTGTTTTAAACAGAAAGACTCTAATTTTAAGTTATATAAATAGAAAGCTCTCTTGATGCAGTGTTTGGAAATGAATATTCTTTTATAAGGCTAGAGACCTTGTTAGGGTTTCAGGATGGAAGGAGTTCAACATATGGTGGGGTATTCGTGAGATTTTCTTTCAGCAATAAAAGCAACACATTTAATATAAGGCTAGGATTCTTTCTGGGACATTTTGGAACAGTTTCAAGGTAAATCTAAGGTACTGAGAAAAAACCTGTAGAGAGGAATTCACCAAGGGGAACTTTTTAAGAACTACCAAATTCAGAGGAAAGAGATTAAAAGTGTAAGCCCTGCGAGTGACTGACTGTGTGATTCCACATCTGGCTTTACAAGTTTCCAGCTGATAACCTTAAGCAAGAGACAGTCTCCATGTTTCCATGCCCTTATCTGTAAAATCAATAAAACTGTTGTTATTTCATGAATTTGTAGAGTTTTAAAAGAGTTAAAATGTGATAAGTAGGCACACCAAAGCTACCACATAGTAAGGACACTTTAATTTTAATCTTTTGTCACTGTGCTCAGTCTGACATGCTCTACCTTTTCTCTCCACATCTCTAACCTATTTCTTTAAAGAGATTCTCAGGAAACTGGAGGCTATGAAGTAGAGATATGGGGAGTAGGTGACCTAGTTTGCAACCAACCCTGATGGAAGAAGGTAAGAAAAACATGTGGAGATGGTGGGAGGAGTAAGAGGGCCAATCCTGACTTAGCTGCATTCCTGGGCAATGTGGGAGAGAAGGAGGAATAAAGGATAGGAGAGAGTAAGGAAGAAAGAGAGAGGAGGAAGGGAATTATGTGATAACATTAGTGAAAAAACTCTAAATTCCTTGAGAGACTACTTGCTGTGTCAATGTTTCCTTGACGTGTCATAATAGTAATTGAGAAGTGAAACTTTTTTTTTTAAATTCACTGTCTTTCAGGGGAAACATAAAACATTATTATATATGTACTGTAACAGATAGCATTGCTTAGCATGAGGCAAAATTCATCTAAGCTAAAGAATGAGGGGGGAAAGTATGATTCCATGATGGTATAGGTGGTACTCAAATCAGATTGCGGAACACTGATTAGATGTTTAAGCAAAAGCCTCTGCTGTCAGTTTTCAGTTTAAAGCCCTGCTTCACTCCTTACAAGCTGTACAAGTCTATACAGGTTACTAGACTTTATGAAGTCTCCAATTTCTCCTGTACAAAATGATCATATAAAATAAAATTGTGTATATAAGCTGTGCATAAATATATGGTAGGTAAAGTACATGGTGAGTTCTCATCAGAATCCTGCTTCTTCTCCCTGGGGAGCCCTAGATCCAGGTCACCCTCACCAAATCATTTTAAGGCCATTTTGTGACATTCAGTCATAGCAGTTTGTTCAGTTTCCTTGAATCAGAGCTGCTGAGAGGTAACTTTGCAAGGTTGCTGCAATTCCCCAGCCCCCATCTGGGTATTAAAGGCAATTCCTGCTCTGTGAAAGTCAGGTCAGGCCACCTGCTTAGCCCAGCACCCCTTCTGGGCAAGCATAATCTATTTTCTTTCTAACATTGGCAGTGAGCCCATGTAATCTTTTTGTAAGATTTGTTCATTTATGCATACAAGAGCTGGGAGTGTAGGCCAGAGGTTCAGGGGGTCAGAGGATTCACCAGAGGCAGAGTGGGGAGCAGAACAGGCGGATCTACTGAAATACACTGTTGAGGGGAGTAGCGGGCAAGACAGGAAAGGTCTGCTGCACCCCATGTGGTCTTAGAAAACTCAACCTCCACCACCACCAGTCCACCACAACTTTAGAAATTTTAATTTCAACACCTGTTTAATATACAAATGAGCAGAAGTTGCTGCGTGTACCCTGAGAAGAAGCAGGGCTAGTGCACACTTGGAACATGCTAGCATCTGACCTTGCATCTATGTGGGCTCCCAGAAACACTATTTCTTCCAACATTAAGTGAAGATTATATTGACTTACTTTCTCAAACCCCTGTAGATCTAAAATTCTCATTACCACACTTTTTTTCTCCTCATTTCCCATTCTTTGTGGAAATCATCAATACCAGAGTGAAATCTTATAAACTGTGTCCTTTCATCATATTACAATTTAAGATGGCTTGATCTTTTTTTCTTTTTTAAGAAGAAATCTTTGTTTCACAAACATATTCACCAATTCTAGGATATGATACAGCATCAGTAACTAAGGTGTTACATTTTTAAGTGTCAACAGAATTGATAACATTTATGGAACATAAAGAATAATCCTATTGTACAATTTTAAGAAGCAGTGCATTTAGATAGATTTTAGAAACTGAAAAAAAGACTTGCCATCATCATGAGACGCACAAGTTCGATCCCTGGCTGGCCAGGGAGCAACCCACATGGTGCGGCAGACCTAGCCTGTCTCTCCTGCTGTTCCCCTCAGCAGTGTATTTCAGTCAGTCTGCCTGTTCTGCTCCCCACTCTGTCCTGGTGAATCCTCTTATCCCACCCCGCATCTCTGGCCTGTATCCCAGCTCATGTATGCATAAATAATCTATAAAAATAAAAATAAAATAAATAAAAAATAAAATATTTGTTATCTTCCATTCATTCACCTGTCAGCAAAAGACCTGGAATTATAACTACATCTGCTGGATTCCAAAGACCTGCTTTTATTTATTTATTTTTTTTTGTATCATGACATGAAATTGTCATCAAAACTTGGAGCATTATTGAAAAGAGTAGCCATTGGTGGTGGTGTTAAATGGTATAAATGTCAGGAAAATTGAAACAGAAATGATAAAATTGTTCTGCTTGCAATCATGACCATAATCTCTTTACTGTTATTCTGAGAACTCCATGGAATGCACAAGTGTGAATGGATCCAGAGATTTAGTCTAGAGATTACGATTCAGTTGATCTGAGTAGTGCCCAGGAACTGAAATAGTTTAACATCTCCAGGTGGCGCTAAAGATTGGACAAATATGAGAACCACTAATAAGACCCAGAGCAGCAGTTCTCAAAGTTGATCTCTTAAGTAGCAACAGCAGGATCACCTAACTCTTGGAAACACAGCATTCTTGGGCTGCATCTTATACTACCTGAGTAGAAATTCCAGGCTAGGACCAAGGACCAGGTTATTCTTTTTGGGGACTTTCAACCATAGACCTTCTTTTCCCCTCATTCCCCCTTCCACCACCCCTTCTCCCTCTCACTCCCTCTTTCTTTCTTTCTTTCCGTAACTGTCTTATATCAGTTTTGGTATTTTGGAAGTATAGGATCCCTTGCCTCAGGTACCAGCACTCTAGTGCATCTACCACCAAATCTAAATAAAGTCTGAGAACCAAATTCCTGAGAGTATAAAGAATAGAAACATTAAGGGGGAAAAAGTGGTCTTCTTTGAAATTAAATGCTCTCTTGACAAGGAGGCAACTGATGTCGAACATCTTGTTTCCTCTTCTAAACTCTGTAGAAAAAATACAGCAGAGTCTGTCTGCCCTATTTAGGGTTTTACTTCCTCTCTCTCCTCAAGGTTAGCAGGTATTTACTTTTATATGCACCCAAAGAAAGAAGTTTTGGGCAAAAAAGGAGAAATACCTGCCTCCTCTCTTGTCTCTAAGGCAAATGATGGAAGGAAAGAGCTTACAGTGTAATTGTGAAAAAGACCTGACTTTGGGTTAACTTGGGTTTGAATCCTGGATCAGTGAGGTAGGGTATTGTCTTGTGCAAACTGCTTGATCTCTCTAAGCCTCATGAGATGGGGATACTGCATTCTAACTGGCCTTTTTAGCACCAATGTCCTCTCAAGGAGAACAAGAGAAATCAGTCCATAGCTCTGTTTCTTCTTGACATCCCCAAGTGGGAAGGAGTAGAATCAAACTCAGTGATTAGGAATTCTAGGATTCTTCTGAATGGTTTTATGGACTTCACACTCTTATCAGGGTGTGATAACTCCTAATCCTCTCATCATCATTTCTTTGATATGTTCCTCATTAAGACCTTTTTGTTTTCCTCTCCTCTTCCCCAAAGAAACTCAAGTAACAGAGAAAACATCTCAGCCATCTATTCTTCTTGTTCACATAAGCCCTGCCGTCTCCAGACTTAACAGAATGATAATGGAGGGTTTTCTCTGCCAAGACTTCTTAGATTTTGAAGAGAGCCATATTGAACTGTGAAATAATTCTGAAGCTGCACATATAGCCAAGGCTTCTTTCCCCTTCCATGATTGTAGTCAAGTTCTTCCTGAGGTTCTTAGGAAAAGACTAATCTCATTAAAGTGACAATTTCTTTGTCCTAAAGATAATACCTTGGCCTTCTAAATGAGAAAATTATGTTCCTGCTATTAAGGTGATTTTAACCATCACAATTTTTAAGAAAAGAGCTCTGGCATTATGCATTTATTCTGGCTGTACCCCACAACCAATGTCCTTCCTACTCCAGGTCAATCAAATAAGACTCTCTGGGAACGGGGTCTTAGCATTAGAGCTATTTAAAAAGCTCCCCAACTGGCTCTAATGTGTAGCAGTGGTGGGAAAGCTGTGTTTAAAGAACATTTAGTCTCCCTCCTAGTCTGATTAAATAACAATGGAGCCAAAGGAAACACAGGAATGTCCTGATTAGCTCAATCTTTTCTGAATATATTCTTTCTGATTCCCAAAATTGATTAGATGGAAGGTTGAGGTGGGCCAGAAAGCCAGCATTTTATATTAATTAAGTTAGCACGTGGATTAAGTATATTATATTTATTAGGGAAACTAGCAGCAATATCTTGCATACTTAATAAATTATTAATTCATCTATACATCTTTTCCTTAGCTATTCATTGGAAAGAGAAGAAAAATGAACTGGCATTGACATACTCCCGGTGCAAGGACTTTGGAGCCATTTTAGGATTATGTTCAAAGTCTTCCTGCATCTGCAGTCCTGACAGTTTCCTGATATGCAGAATGATTTAACAAAGGATTAAGTGAGTGAAGCTACTTGACAGTGCCAGGCAGACAGGGGGAACTAAGTAAATATTGGTGACCCTACCCTGTGTAACTTATTTTGGGGATTGTAGTTACTGCTAGGCTGCCTGAAAGAGTTTATGTTAAGAACTTCCATTTTCTGTAGATTTAACATCTCCCAGAATACTAACAAATCTCAGCTCCCCCCTGGTTATTTGTGGTGGTTTTCCTTCTTGTTTATCTAAGTTGCCAGCCAGTGCTATTAACACTTTCCAATAATCACAGCCTCTATATCCCCATTAAGGGCTCTGAAATGGTTGCTTCTTTTCTCAAAGATTCTCTGTGCAGGTTGGTAAATCAGTCTTCATGGAGCTCAGACCAGGCTTTGGGGAGGGGTTTCATATTAAAGTTTTCCACGTGATTCCTTAAATAAAAATATGTGTTCTTAATAAAAGTCTCTACTTATGAGCTTTTACTTTCCTTCAGCCACTGAAATTCACTTGAACAGATTCTGCACATCCACCCTAACATTCAGTTTTTGTTTGTTTGTTTTTTTTTTCTTATTTCTCTGAATCTTTGTCTTGAATGTTTGCTCAGTGCTTGCATTAGGAAGCAATAGGAAGTCATATTAGCTGAATGTCCTTTCAGTGCTTTTTTTAGGTTTCATTTTTCTCATCTGTTTTTATGCCTCATACTCTGTCCAAGTTATAACTAAATTCCTTTGCAGGATAGTCAAGGCATTACTGGATTGGTCTACTTGCAACTCAAATCCATATTCATTCATGTGTGTTGTGATTGAAATTCTGTGCTTCCATCTCATGTTGAATTCATGGTCATTATTCGAGACCTGCATTATATCTACTCAAAAGTACTTCCTATGACATACATAGGAGAACATTTCCCCCACTTTGACTAATTACATGATTATCTGAGGAGCAGCCCCTTTTTCATGAAATCTATCCATCTTCTTGGCTAACCTAGAAATTCTTAGAGATCTTACTTTTTAGTATCTCTATGTTTCACAACTTGGTGCAGGCAAAGACAATGACCTATAATTCTTATTGAATTAGATTTTCTTCAAATAACACTTTTTTTTCAATGATGTCATCACCGTGGGTTTCAAGCTGAATATTGGTTGAGACTCCAGAGCATCCTACCATGTGTGAACGTTCCATAATTCCATTTCTATAATTCCTTTCCATAATTATTTAAGGATCCAGGCTTCCAGATTTGGCTTAGCTATTCCCTGGTTCTCATCTTCTTTCAGAGACTTATAAATTTCCCATGAATTTCATACTATTTTTTAGAGTTTTGAATTGTAATTTCTCATCATTACTTGATAGTCACTTTTTCTAGATACTATGAGGCATCGCTGAGATTTTAATTGCATAAGTTCCTATATATCTGTCCTCAGCAAACATCTCTTCTCTAAATTCCAGAAGCTGTCACAGAGTCTGCAATGGGTTAATAGTCATTTAAGTATTTTGTGAATGAATGTTTGATAAGGGTGAACTTAGTCTTAGAGGACTAAAATGCAGCTAAAAGTGCAAGTTTGATGCTTAAAGTTGTACCATTCAGTGGAAATAAATTGCAATTCAAATTTTTAATTTTAAATTTTCTAGCAGGCACGTTTAAAAAGGAAAACTAATATATAAAGCAAAATTTTAATAAAATAGCTTTCTTAACTAAATATATCCAATATATTTACATTTCAACTTGTGATCTATGTAAAAACATTATTAGTATGATATTTGTATTACTTTAAGTATTTGACATCCAGTGTGCATTTTGCTCTTACAGATCATCTAGATTCAGATGCTAAATTCAGTTCCCCAGTCTCTCTAACTACATTTTGAGTGCTCATTAGCCACACAAGGCTTGCGACTATTGGACAGCACACCATAATGAATACAAGTTATGGCAGGTCCTAGAGCAGGAGACAAATGTGAGAAAGTGAGGTTTTGTTTTTTTTTTTTTGAGGTAAAATAAAAACATCCTACTCTTAAATGTTACCATTTTAATCTTTACTGCTTGCTTAAACAGACATTTAGCTATCTTTTGCGACACAGCAAAAAGACTTAGCAACAGGAGAAAATGATTGTTATTAAACAACCTGAAAACTTCGAGAGCATTAAAAGCTCTGCCAACTTGAAGCTGATTTCTGTCATAAACTAAATATCAAGACAGAGCTCTTCTTCCCTCTTGTGCCCATTTGACACTTGTATTTTATTACTGCCCACTTTTATGTATATGATTTAATACATTTAATCCTTTTTACTAACGTCATTTCTTTCACTTCTTATTTTTCTCATCCCCATAGTGATTATCTATCAAATCCTACAAGACTTTGGATAGGAAATAGAGAACATGTATGAACTGATCTGACCTGATTGTGGAAAGTCTTACTGCAGTCAAAAATAATAAAAGGAAGACTGTGTCTTATAAAGTGAGTTTGTGTCTTGCTGGAGATGCTGCCACACAACCTTGATAAAAAAAGTGTTTCTCTTACTAAATAGTATTGGGATTGAGTCAGCGCCTCAGAGCCATCTGAGTGCCTTCCTGAGGTTTGGGCATAGAACTCTCAGGGAAGTAAAATGCCTCTGGCCTTGCACTTACCTGTGGTTTTTGACCTTGACTTTGTCCTCTGTCCCACTTGTCAGATCAAGAAAACCAGTGAACAAACAGCTTAAATGAGGCAAGGTGTGTAATATAAATACAATGAAATCTCTGCCCAGATAACTCCTATCGATCCTCAGGGGCTTTGAGACACATCACATTGAATTTTTTTTTTTTTTTCCTAGGTTAGCTGACTGCACACAGATTTCACTGGATTTATATGACTTTTCAAGCCACTAGGATACCAATTAACAGAGTGCTAATACAGTGCAAGAAAGAGTAGCCTGAAATAATTAATGCACCTCTACAAAGGCCTGAATCCTGTTCCTAGAGGGACATTTTATCCTTTAGGAAAAGCCAGCTGGTCAGAGGAACTGGGGCCCTTAACCCTCTCTGTGAGTTTAAAATAGAAGCTGCAGTTTAGTTGGTGCCTTTTCTTCTCTCCCTAGTGTCCCCTTATGCCCTATTGAATGCCAGCCACCTCTTTCTGTTTTTGATGAACTCTGGAAAAGGGAAATGAAGTGAAAAATAAGACCCAAGCCTTGTAATATCAGTGTGGGTTTTAGAGAAGGAGGCAGACACAGTGGAAGATGTAGGGACATTCTTGTCTTTGGACTTTCTGTGATAAGACAAAGAATTTTGCAGCTTCTTCAAATTAGTTGTTATTATTTTAATTTATTCTGTGTCCTTAGTCATGGCTACTATCTCACTGAGAGTGAAACCATAGTCCTTGAGATGGGCATTTACTAGTTCTGCTTATATTGTAAGCAGAATAAACTTGCAACAGTGGAACAAACATAACCCTACTCATTTTATTTTATTTTTTAAAGATTTATTTATGCATACAAGAACTGGGGTACAGACCAGAGTTTTGGGGGGTGAGAGGATTCACCAGAGACAGACTAGGGAACAGAACAGGTGGATTGACTGAAATACACTGCTAAGGAGAGCAGCGGGCAAGTCAGGAGAGGTCTGCTGCACCATGTGAGTAGCTTCCCAGCCAGGTATCGAACTTGAGCTGCAGTGGCTGCAGCCACCAGGGAGGTCCTCTTACTCATTTTAAACAAGGGACAAAAGCAGCAATATTTCATAAATGGAGAGATTATGTTCAGAACATAGGCCCAGAAGAATGTTTCATGTCCCAAAGATGACATTTTAATTCTGGGATAGGAAAATGCCATGAAAAACAAAAATTTCCTGGAAGATCATCCAGGAAGATGCCTAACTCATGGTTAGATGGATAACATGCAGACGCCTTTGCAACTCTGAATCCAAATTTGGTTGATACCCCTATTTCATAGGAAGAAATCAATCAGACTCTACCAACTTATGTTTTTTTAATATTTGGTCTTCAACCCCGTAAGTACTGCCCCACCTCAGCGAAGACTGATTTGAATGACTTGTCTCCAATCCCCTGCCAAGTGACCACAAATTAAACTGGTTCTTTTCTCAAAAGCTGGTGGCATGATTTTTGGCTTTTGTGCCATCAGATAATGGGCCCACATTCAACAGAGAAGAGACATTCTCATTAATACATAATATTTTCCATGTCTTGGTGTTGCTATATAGTCTGATTTTTATCTCTGAGGAGAAAGTGACTAGGAATATCTAGGAAAGAAGATGAATAAGGATGGGGAAAGGGTACCTGTTTATCAGTATTTGTAGAATAATGATAAAGATTGACACCAGGCATAGCAGTAAAATTGAAGTTAAAGGAAGGCAGATTGTTTTTCTCAGTATGCAGAAAGAGAAATTTGACAATTGAATGCCTTTACCTTTATATCTCTCTCCTGCCCCTTTGCCCCCTACCCTGGAAGAATAAACAGCCATTAAAAAGGAAAACCAGGGAGCCTCCCTGGTGGTGCAAGGGGTTAAGCACAGCACTGTGAAGCTATCGTGGCCTCTGGAGCACGAGTTCAATCCCCAGCCACCCAGGGAGCTACCCACATGGTGCAGCAGACCTCTCCTATCTCGTCCGCTGTTTGCCTCAGCAGTGTATTTCAGTCAATCTGCCTGTTCTGCTCCCCACTCTGTCTCTGGTGAATTCTCTCACCCCCACAGCTCTGGCCTGTACCCCAGTTCCTGTATGCATAGATAAATAAATCGTTTTTTTAAAAGGGGGGAAACCAATGGAGCCATTCAAGAGGACACTGTACATTCATATTTGCAAAATATCCAAAAGAATTTAATCATCAAAAGATGTTACAGTAAGAAAAAAATCATTTCCTCACTTTTTTAAATTTATATAGCTATTATATAGTTAGAGATTTATATAGTTGTATATA